ATCAGTCGATGTACTTCTGTAAATTTGTAGCATAATGTTTGTTCGTGGCCACAATGCGGACATCCATGCGAGAATATTGCCGCATTCTTGCACCATCTATCCGCAGCCCATATGCTGGACGAACGGGGTACCCAGCAGTGTCGGGCACAAATTGAAGTTGTCGACAGCTTGGAGCATCAGTTGACCAAAGAGAAACTTCGGCTGGAAGCGATGCTTCAACATCTACAAATGAAGCAGTCGCCGGAACCGGCGTCAACGTCGATCAACAATAACATGCCAAGTGAATCGCCGTTACTATCGCCGCCATTAATGGAAACAAAGTTGGAAGCAAAAATTGAGCCAGTACAGTCTGATCAGGTGAGAGGTTAACTTCACATTCACCATCATCATTATTGTTATTATCACTCTAATCATCTTCAGCATCATGGTGAGTTGTTTGTTGCTGAGTGGTTTTTTTCCCTTAGAAATTTAGAATTCTGTTGATTGCCATAGTGATTTCACTATTTAATATGTTTAGATGGGAAATATTTGCATCAACTCTTTTCTTTTTTTTCGGTTTTTTTTATGCGAACAAAAGGATGAAAACCATTTGTATGCAATAAAACGATGAAAGCGATGCACATGATGATGATGGTGATGATTATGATGATGATGATAGTGTTGATGATGATGTTGATGATGATGATGATGTGTACTTATTTTTTGTTCATCTTCATCTTCCAGTTACTGTCAGCATTGTTAGAGGAATTCTTATTTGTTAGGATATTTCTCTTGTTTTGTTGTTTAATTTTTATTACGTCTTTTATGGCTTTCAGTTCCTTCATCTTTTTTCTTTTTTTTTTTTCTTCTCAACTGGATTATTCATTATTTGTCCAATCAAATTTTCCCAGTTATTTTTTTTCTTGCTCAGAATATTTTTTAGGTTTTCTGGATGCGGTGTTTGTTGAGTATAGAAAAGTTTTTTTTTTTTTTTTGGAAGAGAGATGAAGGGAGCTTTTCTTGTAGCTTTTCATGATATTTATTTTCATTTTTTTCTTCTATTTCTTTTTGTTCATTTTTATTTTCGTTTCTTTCTCTTCATGTCTCATAATAAATTACTGGTTATTTGTTGGGTTTCATTGATGACTGTCATTTTTTTTTTTCTGACGTTTCTATATTTACATTTTTTGCTAGCTTTTTTTTCCATTCAGATAGCATTTTGCTGTAGCAATACAATGATTTTTGTTTCGTTATCGAGGAGGAAAGTTAAGGAAAGGGGGGTTTGTAATATCTCCTCTCCCTCCTCTTTCCCAGGTCCCAATTCTCTCCCATCTTTCATCTTCTTCCATCCCAGCTCGCTCTGCCTGCTGCCTGCCTACCTGCCGACCTGCGAGTCCACCTTTTCAAAATCCGAACAGTAATCATCTTGATTATTTGAAATGCTGATATAAGTGTGGCAACCGCAATTACTGTTGCTGCTAACTAGCGTTATAGTTAGTAATTTACTTATATTGTTGGTGATGATTATGTGGATTTTAAAAATGTAGTAATGGCTACAACTAATCGAGTAGCAACAGCATTTTTTTTTTAATTTGCTTTTTATTATTTTCAAACTATTAATTTGTTGCTGAAAAACGTTGTAGAAGTTTAAACTGTTATTACAGTTTTTGATTGCCAAAAATTGCGACAACAACGGCAACGGTAGAGAAAAATAATATATGATGAAAAAAAGTGGAGATATTGTTTGTTGCACTTTTTTTTTTTTTTTTTTTTTTTTTTAAAAAAAATTTGGA